ACCCCCGGCGCAGGCCAGGGGGAGGGGCGGGGCAGCCCAAAGACCCCCCTCAGGCTGGGGGGCATCACCCCAAAACGGGAGGGGGCGCTTAAGCCGGGGCGCTCAAAACCCAGAGGGGCAATTCGGGGGATAAAAGAGATGGGGGGGAAGTGCTGATGCCCCCTCAGCTCACCCCCCCAATCTGGGGACCCCCTTTGTCTGCCCCGTGATAATTCTAGAAGTCCGAACCCCGATGGACAGGCGGTCCTCGACTTAACGACTGTTCGCTTAGCAGCCGTTCAAAGTTGCGACGGCAACGGAAAAAAAGGAAAGGGACTTACGGGAAGCCCTCGCACTCGCGACCGCCGCAGCGTCTCCCAGGGTCACGTGATCGAAACTCAAGCCGGGGGGCAACCGGCATGGATTTATGACTGCAACCAGCGTCCTGGGAGGGGGTGTCAAGTGATCCCTGTTTGAGACCTTCCCAGTGGGGGCTCCGACAAGCCAAGGGAATGTGGGACTGCAGGATTCACTTAACGACCGCCTGATTCGCTTAGCGACAGTCGTTCCCTTGGCAACCGTGTTCCTCATTGAAGAACTGCGGTGATTCACTTAACAGCCAGGGTGAGGAAAGTCGTAAACGGGGGCAAAACTCCCTTAACAGATTTCTCCCTTAACAACATCAAGGTTGGGTTCGGTTGCGGTCGTACGTTGAGGACTACTTGCACAGGTAGTCCTCGCTTAATGACGGTTGAAGTTACAGCAGACCCTTCAGAAGCTACTTCCTCCCTCCCTCCCTCGTCTTCCTTCCTTCCTCCTTCCCTCGCTCCCTCTCTTCCTTCCTTCCTTCCTTCCTTCTTCCCTCTCCCTCTTGTCCACCTTCTTTCCTCCTTCCCTCCCTCACTCTCCCTCCCTCCCTCCTGTCTCCCTTCCTTCCTTCCTCCTTCCCTCGCTCCCTCCCTCCCACTCTTTCTTTTTCTTTCTTTCTTTCTTTCTTTCTTTCTTTCTTTCTTTCTTTCTTTCTTTCTTTCCCTTTCTTTCTTTCTTTCTTTCTCTTTCTTTCTTTCTTTCTTTCTTTTTCTTTCTTTCTTTCTTTCTTTCTCTTTCTTTCTTTCCCTTTCTTTCTTTCTTTCTCTTTTCTTTCTTTCTTTCTTTCTTCCTTCTTCCTTCCCTCGCTCCCTCCGTTTCACTCCATCTTTCTTTCTTTCTTTCTTTCTTTCTTTCTTTCTTTCTTTCTTTCTTTCTTTCTCTTTTCTTTTCTTTTTCCTTCCTTCACTCCTTCCTTCTTTACTCCCTCCCTCCCTCCCTTCTCCAAACTATAGAATAGAATAGAATAGAATAGAATAGAATAGAATAGAATAGAATATATGGAATGGAATGGAATGGAATCGAGCTGGAAGGGACCTTAGAGGTCTTCTAGTCCAGCCCTCCTCCGCTCAAGCAGGAGACCCCCATACCATTTGAGACAAGGGGCAGTCCAGTCTCTTCTTAAAAACCTCCAGTAATGGAGCACCCACGATTTCTGGTGGCAAGCTGTTCCACAGGTTAATTGTCCTCACTGTTAGGAAGTTTCTCCTTAATTCCAGGTTGCTTCTCTCTTTGGTCAGTTTCCAACCATTTTTTCTCGCCCTTCCCTCTGGTGCTCTGCTGAATAATGTGCCCCCCCCTCTTTTTTGTGGTAGCCCCCCCCCCAAATACTGGAACGCTGCTATCATGTCTCCCCTATTTCTTCTTTTCTTTACACTGCCCAAACCTAAATCCCACAGCCGTTCTTCGTAGGTTTTATTCTCCAGGCCTCCTGCTCCTCCTCTGACCCGCTTAGCGTCCCCCCTCGCCCAGCCCAGCCCCCCCCAAGACCCCTCACTCACTCTCCAGGCGTTGAACCAGGGCTTTGTCCTTCAGGGCCACCTCGGCGCTGATGGAGCGCGACTCAATCGGGATGTAAAGGACGGTGCGGCCCTTCATCTTGTAGCGAGTATCTGCGGGTAGGAATGGCTGGGGATTAGGGTTTCTGTTGGTTTTGAAGAGAGGGGGGACCTCGGGGCTTCTCCTCAGGACCCCCCCTTCCAGTTCCCATTCCTCGGTCGTCGGCTGAAACGCCCACAGGTAGGTCCTCGAGTTACGACTATCTGTTTAGTGACCGTTTGAAGTTACAACGGCACCGGAAACAGCAACAAACCAGTGCTCGCTCTTACGACCGTCGTGGCAAAAAAAACAACCACCCCACGATCACATGATCGAAATTCAGGCCGCTGGCAAGCGCCCGGTTGAGTTAATAACCGCACTGATTCGTTTAACGACCACTGTTAAGAGCGGTCATAAAATTGGGCGTGGCAACCCCAGTCTGGGAAAAAGCACCTAGGTCAAGGGGTAGGCCACCTCGGCTCTTTTAGGACTCGTGGACTTCAACTCCCAGAATTCCTGAGCCAGCCATGCCTTTTTTTTCCCCCTTCTACCTCCTATAGCAGAAAGATTGCAGAGGAAGGGATTGTAAGAGAGTAAGCACATCGACGGGTAGACGCACCCTGCGGGCTCAGGAATTCTGGGAGTTGACGTCCACGAGTCATAAAAGAGCCAAGGTTGCCTACCCCTGGCCTAGGTTGTCACCGGAGGGTGATCCAAACGGAACAACTACAGAATCCCTACCTGTCAGGGAGGTCATGAAATGGTAAATTTCGGAGAAAATTTCGTTTTTTATGCTTTCGGGCCAGGAGCCTTTGCGGAAGAGGCGGGGCAAGTAGACCGCGTTGAGCATGCGCGTCAGGGAATCGATGTAGGGTTTGCGCACGGAGCCGAATTGCACCACTTCGTGGAAGTTCTCCTCCGTGATTTCCGCCTTCTCCTGGCGGATGAAGTAGGCGAGCTGCTTCTGCTCCTGTCGAGAGAAACGCAAAATCACTTCGGGGGGTGGGAAAGGGAGACCTAACGTTGGGTTTTCTCAAGCTTCAACGCCCAGAATTCCCCAGCCAGCCATGCCTCTCTTTTTTCCCCCTCCTACCTCCTATAGCAGAAAGATTGCAGAGGAAGGGATTATAAGAGAGTAAGCACATCGATGGCTATACAGGTCAAAAGGAATGCAGTGTCCGGTGGTGGGAAGCCTCGCTCTACAGCAGGGGTCTTCAAACCCAGCAACTTTAAGACTTATGGGCTTCAACTCCCAGAATTCCCCAGCCAGCCATGCCTTTTTTCCTCCTCCTACCTCCTATAGCAGAAAGATTGCAGAGGAAGGGATTATAAGAGAGTAAGCGCACTGATGGGTAGACACATCAAAAGGGATGCATTAGTGCCAGGGAATTCTGACCACGGTAGGATCGTTGACACTATCTATCTATCTATCTATCTATCTATCTATCTATCTATCTATCTATCTATCTATCCATCCATCCATCCATCCATCCATCCATCCATCCATCCATCCCTATGTCTATCTCTATTAGCTATGTAGCTATATCTCTCTATGTCTATCTTTATCGATCTATCTATCTATCTATCTATCTATCTATCTATCTATCTATCTATCTATCTATCTATCTATCTATCTCATCTATCATCTATTATCCTTATCATGTGTCTATCATCTATCAATCATCTATCTCTATTATCTCTTTATCTATCATGTATCTTGTCTGTCTGTCTGTCTGTCTATCATCTATCTCTATTATCTATCTTTATCGCAATGGTTCTCAACCTTTTTTTATTCCGCGACCCCAACCAGTCGTAAGTCGAGGACTAAACCGGTCGTAAGATGAGGACTAAACCGGTCGTACATCGAGGACTACCCAACCGGTCGTAAGTCGAGGACTTTCCCTGCCCGGGAGCGCCGCGCATGCGTGGTTCCACCCCCTGTGCCGGCCGAGGCGTAGCTGGCAAGCGGCAGAGACGGAGCAGGCCGACCACCAGCTGGCCCAGCCCAAGGGAGGTAAGGCACCCGCCGGAAAAGGGGAAAAAAATGGCGGACAAAAAAAATGGCAGACAAAAAAATGGCGGACAAAAAAAATGGCGGACAGACTTGCTTGGCGACCCCCATGAATTGGTCGATCGACCCCAAAATGGGGTCCCGACCCACAGGTTGAGAACCACTGCTTTATCGTATATCTATCTATCTATCTATCTATCTATCTATCTATCTATCTATCTATCTATCTATCTATCTATCTATCTATCTATCTATCTATCATCTATCTATCTATCTATCATCTATTATCCTTATCATGTGTCTATCATCTATCAATCATCTATCTCTATTATCTCTTTATCTATCATGTATCTTGTCTGTCTGTCTGTCTATCTATCTATCTATCATCTATCTATCTATCTATCTATCTATCTATCTATCTATCTATCTATCTATCTATCTATCTATCTATCTATCTATCTATCTATCTATCTATCTATCTATCTAATCTATCTCACCTGATAATCTTTACGGAAGCCTCTGCTTGACCCAACAATAAACTCAACGGATCCACATGGTTTGATATGCAAGGGAAATTACAGCTTTCCCCATCAAGCATTCCCCCATGCTGGCTGGGGGGGGGGATTCTGGGAGTTGAAGTCCACGCAACTTAACGTTGCTAAGGCTGGGGGATAAGCTGTGCTAGGACGAGACCTCTGGAGACCACCAAAACGTGCCTCCTGATAGAGTCCTTAGGGAAGCCTCTGCTTGACCCAGTAGTAACCCGGATGGGCACAACTTGGTTTGTTTTTTGGGGTTCTCAAAGGAAAACTTCATCCCGGTTTTATTTCGCCCCCCCCCCAGATCCCAAAGGGAGAAGCCCACCTGATGGGGCATGACCGGCTCCACTTTCAACCCGGCGTAGTCGTCAACGTAAAAGACCAACATGGTCTGGCTGACGTCCTTCAGGAACTGGTCCATCGCAGCCAGGTGTTCGTCCGTCCACATCTCCTCGGTCACGCCGGACAAGGAGATCCGGCTCCGGAGGCAGGGCTTCTGCACAAAGAGGGCGAAACCCACAACTGGGACAAAGGGACGCAAACCGCATCGTCCCCAGAGAGGGGCGTTCTTCACCGGACAAGCTTGTGTCTTTGCGCAGACAGGCGCGAGAGAGTCCTGGACTCACGAGAGCTCGTTTAGTGATGGTCCAGAGTTCCTACCGGGGGGACACAACTAATCCTGGACTCACAAGAGTTCGTTTAGTGACGGTCCAGAGTCCCTACCTGGGGGACACAACTAATCCTGGACTCACAAGAATTCGTTTAGTGACGGTCCAGAGTCCCTACCTGGGGGACACAACTAATCCTGGACTCACAAGAGTTCGTTTAGTGATGGTCCAGAATCCCTACCTGGGGGACACAGTTACACCTGGACTCACAAGAGTTCATTTAGTGACGGTCCAGAGTTCCTACCTGGGGGACACAGTTATACCTGGACTCACAAGAGTTCGCTTAGTGACGGTCCAGAGTCCCTACCTGGGGGACACAACTAATCCTGGACTCACAAGAGTTCATTTAGTGACGGTCCAGAGTCCCTACCTGGGGGACACAACTAATCCTAGATTACAAGAGTTCATTTAGTGACCGTTCAAATTTGCAACAGCACTGAAAATGTGACCTAGGACCCTTTTTCACACTTACGACTGTTGTGGCATCCCCCTGTGGTCACGTGATCAAAATTCAGAGGCTTGGCAACTGACTCGTATTTGTGACGGTTGCAGTGTCCTAGGCTCCTGTCACCCCCCTTTCGCGACCGTCCGATGAGCAAAGTTAAGGGGGAGGCCGGATCCATTTAATGACCGCGTCACTAACCGAGCCACCGCAGGAATTCACTTCACAGTGGTCGTAAAATGGGGCAAAACGCACTTAACGACGGAAATTTGGGGGTCGATTGCGGTCGTTAAGTCGACGGCTACCTGGACTTACGGACCCAGGTTTGAAATTCCGACAGTCACGATGACACCCACACACACACACACACTTGTGTGTGATACGGTCACACACTCCGCAATGGCGTGTATGGCGGTTTTTGCCGGAAACCTTCATTTGCTTCCTGGTTTTCCAACCCCCCAAAAATCAAATTTTTTAAAAAAATGACCCTTTTGGACAACGGATTCGCTTAACGACCGGTGACCTGCTGAACGACCGTCTCAAAAAAAGCCGCTCACAGAAGCCGGCACGGTCGTGGGGTCGGTCGGCTGGCGGCCGGCACGACTTAGGAACGATAATCGTGGCCTCAGTCATCGTCATTAAATCGAGGACTTATGTGAACTTGGGCTGCCCGGGGGAACCCCCCACAAAAAAGGTGGGATTTTTTTTTCCCACTCTCACCCCCTCCCCAAGTAAGCCCCCCCACCCTTATTCCTAAGAGCTTTTCCGAGAAAACCCGGGCCATCGGGATCCCATTAGCGCAACATCTGGTGTGGAAGTACAGAACCAGATGTGCTGGGGTGTGTAGTGCAAGGGAAGTATGCGAGATTGCAAGCAGAAACACACCCACACACGCACACCCTTGGCCTTCTGTGGGTTTTTGTCTTGTGGGGTGGGGTGGGGGAAAGGAGGGGGGCAGGGAGGGAGAACAGCCTGGGCCTAGAGGAGGGTCTTCCTCCCTCTCCACCCCCCCCGGGCAAAATTGCTGGCTGCAGATGCGATGCCAGAGCGGCACTCCAGGTCCCGATCAATCAATTAATCAATCAATCAATCAATCAGAAAAGAGTTGGGAGGGACCTGGGAGGCCATCTAGTCCAACCCCCTGCTCAAGCGGGAGACCCTAGACCAAAACGAGGAGGAGGAGGAGGAATAACCGAATAACAGACTTGCAAGGGACCTGGGAGGTCATCTAGTCCAACCCCCTGCTCGAGCAGGAGACCCTAACCCATTTCAGACAAGGGGCTGTCCACTCTCTTCTTAAGGACTCCAGTGGTGAACCAGCTGTTGCCCTGGTTAATTGTTCTCACCGTTAGGAAGTTTCTCACCTTCCTTCAGGACAGGGTAGCACCAGGCCAGTGTCATGTCTGTCTCTATGTGTGTGTGTTTGTGTGTGTGTGTGTGTGTGTATAAAATGGAGAACCGTCATTAAGCGAACTATTAATGCAGGGGTAGGCAACCTCGGCTCTTTTAGGACTCGTGGACTTCAACTCCCAGAATTCCTGAGCCGGCATGGCTCAGCTTGGAAACACTCCCTTTCCCCTCAGCATGGCTGGCTCAGGAATTCTGGGAGTTGAAGTCCACAAATCCTGAAGGGGCTATAGTTTCCCCCATGCTGGCTGAGGAATTCTGGGAGTTGAAGTCCACGAGTCATAAAAGAGCCAAGGTTGCCTACCTCTGGCCTAGGCCTAAGCTGCTTTATGACTGGTGGACTTCAACTCCCAGAATTCCTGAGCCAGCATGGCTCAGCTTGGAAACCTCTCCCTTTCCCCTCAGCCTGGCTGGCTCAGGAATTCTGGGAGTTGAAGTCCACGAGTCATAAAAGAGCCGAGGTTTAGTGGATTAGCTGTGTATCCCCAGAATTTGGAGGGGTCTTGGTGGCAGGGGGGTGATCCAAAGGGACCCAGGGGGCACCCCTCCGGGCAAGAAAGACCCCCCCGCCCCACAAAACGGCCACTTACCAAATCCGCCTCTCCCTCCATGTGGATGGAAGGAATGACCACCATCTCCATGCTCTCTTCCGGCTCTTCCGGCATCTCGGGTGGGGTTTCCTCTGGGGGGGAGGGCAAGAAGAGAAAAGTGGGGGTCAGAGTGGGGGGGTAGAGGCCTCGGACGGAGAATGGGGAAGAGCCAGAGTTTCAGCCCCACAGGTGGAGGGAATTCCCTTCCTCTTCGGCTGGCCTACCTCGCAGGGCTGTCGTTTTTGGGAAGGGTCGGGGAGGAAGGGCTAAGGAAAGGAAAGGCTAAGAAAGGCAAGGAGCTACTCTTGCCCCAAGGATGCCACTTTATATCGTGTGTGTGTGTGTGTGTGTGTGTGTGGCCGTCCTCCCCGGCCCATGCGTTGCTAACTACAAGCCCCATGATCCCCGGCCCGCCTGGCCATGGCTGAGGAAGCCTGCCTTAGGATCGAGGGCAGCCCTCAGCAGGAGGAGAGATGGCTCTGCCATCCGGAAGCCTCCCAGGTGCCTCTTCCTGGCCACCTTCACAAGCCACCTTTGCCCTCCCGTTCAGAAACAAGCCGACTTCCACCCCCCCCCAAAAGGGATCCTGGAAACTTTTACTAGGTGCAAGTTGCCCCCCTGCCCCGGGGCCGGGGTTGCTTCTTGGAGGAAGGAAGAGGATGGGCTGGGCCTCAAAAGTACATCCCAGCCACTCCCCAGTTTGGCCTAGTGGTTACAGCACCAGGCTTAGAAAGCAGGAGACCGTGAGTTATAGTTCCGCCTTAGCCGTGAAAGTCAACTGGGGTAACTTTAAGCCAATCATGGTTCCGTCTTAAGCATGAATCACCAGGAGACTGGAAATTCTAGTCCTGCATT